ATTTCACACTAAAATTTTATATAATAAATTGACCCTACCGAATGTTGACTTCATTTAGATCAAGCCAAATTTTTGTGAATTTCTGTGGAATTGAATACCATGGTCCTAGCTCAAGCACCTAATTTAGACCCGGTACTTCTCATAAAATCAAGTATCTATACCTCACTAATAAAATGCCAAAAAATTGGGAAAAAATAGATAAAAGTATCCAAAGATATAAAAATTCTTCTTAATTTGAAAGGATAGATATCAGCGACTATAAGATTTGAACTTTCACTTTGAGACAAATAAGTCCCACCTTAAGCTACACTTGGAAAATTCAATTGAAATATAAACCGATATGTCATTTTCACAAGCCCCACCTTGTTTGTAGAAAAAAGAGTAAATTACAGAGGCCCCATCTTTTTCTCTTAAACCCTAATTGACCCAAAAATACATTCATATTCTTCAAATGAAGCAACTAAAATAATAAGAATCATTTCAGTGACATCAAGGTTCAAAATATCGATACTGGTGATACGCAAGTAGGGGCGTATCAGCCTATATCGAGGGCTGTTTCTCCAATTTTTTTAGTTTTCTCAATCTGGTTCAGAGGGGTTGGTTTTGAAGCCCATCTATCCCCTGAACCATGGTCTAACCTGAAACACCCACTGTAGGGCATATCGGGAAGCCCCATACGATATGTATCGGCCGATTCGGCCTGATATGTCTCGATATTTTGAACTTTGACTGACATAGAAAAACAAGTTTCTTTAAATTCTTGTTTCATTTTAACTGACATGAATGCCTCTTTTCATCTTAAAATATAAAAAATTATTCACTCCTTTCTCCAATAAATCAAAAAATTTAAAGGAAATCGTAAATTTATATCTATTAGCTAGAAAGAAACCTCTACCATTTTATCTGAATATTGAATTCGGCCAGAAATCTGCAATGAAAGTTAACAGACAGAACTCTCATGAAAAGGACATTTGTTGCAAAGTGAAAATTTAGGGAGGAAGACATTGTTGCTAGACCTGGCAATTGGGTTGAGTGGGTTGGGTTCGGGTTGGGTCAAGGTACTTCAAGTTGATTTTGGGTCGGGTTGAATTTCGGGTTGGGTTGTCAAATGCTAGACTCTAACCCTAAATGTTCGGGTTAGGGTTGACCCATGGGTCAATTCGGGTTATCCCAAACAAATAATTAAAATTAAAAAAAAAACAAAGAAAAATTACATGAAGATGTCAAAATTAAAAGAATTAACCTTAAAATTCTAAATATAAAATAAAAAACTTGAACATTTAACAATTTAAAGAGTAAATAATAAAAAGTAAAGACTAAATAGAAAAAAAAATTAAAGAGTGGAAACTTCTAACAATGCATAAATAATCCCAGTTAGACTTGATAATTGGGTCAGCAGGTTGACCCATGACCCAACCCAACCCAACTCAATTTTTCGTGTCGGGCCAGGTTATGTCATTTTCACACTCGGATAGCTATATATGAGACCCTAACTCTATTTTTTCAGGTTGGATTGAGTTGGATTCACAGATTGGGTCAACTTTTTGCTAAACCTAATTATTGTAAATGAAAGTTCAGGGATAATTGTCACTGACCCCAAAGTAGGGATCTTTATAATTTGCCCAAAAAAATCCAAGAATTTCATCTAGCTATTATTGTTTCCAAAAAATTAAATAAATAAATATCGGTCCCAACTTGACCCAGTATCCCATGACCCAGACTGGGGTGGGCCAGTCTCAATTACCTGGGTTATAACTTGAAAATTCTCAGAAAAACATACTACGAGACAGTTAGTCATATCATTTTCAGGAGTCAGCTTTGCCTAATATCCCGTGACCCAGTCTCATCTAACGTTGGGGCCGGTCTCAATTACTTGGGTTATAACTTGGAAATTCACTGAAAAAATACTCAACGTTAGTCATACCTTTTTCACGAGTCCCACCAAATCTGTTGTATTCTTTTAAAATAAAAGAAATACCGGTCCCAGCTTTACCTAATATCCTGTGATTCAGTCGCACCACAGCTGTTTACGGGTCGGGTTGGGTCAGTTTATTGAGGTTTTTTCAATTGACCCGACCTGGTCGGGTTACCTGAACTTGAAATCGAAACCGACCTAGTGTTAAGTAAAACCGACCTATTCAGTTTGATTTGGGTTGGGTCAGTTTAGGTCGGTTTCAGTTCTAAGTTCAACCATGCTTGACAAAAACTCAACTGCAATATATATGTGGGGACTGTGGCACCACAGTATGTTAGGTAGTGAACGCGGGAAAAGCCTTGCTTTTGATAAATAGGATATACCTCTAGTCCACAGTTTGGACTTTGGAGAGGAGAAGAAGAGCAAAACCCATATATAATAATAATGCCTATTATAGAGGTATATATGTTATATATCTTTTCAGTAATTAAGTTTTATCTCCAAAACCACCAACCTATCCCTTTGATTATATCTTCATTTTGAAGCTTAATTGTCTTAATTGGGATTTGGGTGAATTCTGTAGGGAGACTTCAAAACAGTTAATTACAATCATTAATCTAGCCAATGTAATAGATTTGAAGAGGGACAATTAGTTATTGGGGCTTAATTAATTTAAACTTCTTAAAGGGACAATTAGTCGGTTCGGTTTATGATGTTTTACAACCCGAAACCGACCCGTGCTGAAGATAACCCGACCGACTCGGGTTGGGTCGGTCTGGGTTGGTCGGTTTTGTTGGATTGGGCCTTCTTATGAACAGCCCTATGGGAGTGTGAAAATGAATGGGATTGTTTTAGTTTTGTCCACGGTAGAATATGGTGTCCCTACCGTATGTAGACGATTCTCATCCCCAAAATATTATAGACAGGGACAGGCCACACTCTAATTTATCATCCACGGTATTCTCTTGTGGATGGTCCACATTATAGTATGGACAGTTTGTGGGAAAGATTCAGTGTAATACATCTATGTTACATTGGTCCAATCATTCTCATTTTATTTAATTTATATAGAAATTATTTTTTTGTTGAAGATAATATTATAATGACAAATATATTTATATTATTATTTCAAATTATTTTTGACTTAAATTATGGTTCTTTTTCATTCATGATCATACAAGTGCAAATGGATCCAATACAATTCGAAATCCGATCCTATTTTTGTCATATTTGGATAACTATCTGTCATATTTTTGGATTGAAATCAGATCTTATTCGAATCACCCCTATCCGATCTGACATGATCAATTGTATAAATCATCCCACAAGTTGTACATGAGGTGTATGGAATCAATAGGTGTACTGCTACACCTATAAAACGCCCTTGTGAGTGTAGACAATTTCTATGAATATAATTTTGTCCACGGTTCAGAATAGGTATAAACAGTAGTATAATTTGGACCAGTCCACACCCATCAATTTCTCATCCATACTATATCATCCCGGTTAATTTTTCTTTTCTTTTTTTTTTTTTTTGAAGCCAGAGGCAAAAAATTATTTCAAAACAATAGGTTACATCTCATCCAAAAATATAGACGTGATGAAATCTGGAGGAGTCGACCAGGTCATAGCATGATTGTATCTAACAACATGATTTGCTAGCCCATGGGCTAAGCAATTACAAGATCGAGATGTATGAATAAAACTGGTTGACACAAAGCCAGAAGCAAGATGCCTACAATCTAGAATAGTAGAATATAATCTCCAGGGAGGGTCTACACCTGAAGAGAGAATGTCAATGATGTGTTTTGCATCACTTTCAATGATGAGAGCCACAAGGTCCATTGCAATGGCACACCTCAGACCTTCCAAAATTGCTAAGGCTTCAGCTTCTGCCGGGGAAGAACAATGGAGGGGAGCACATCTACCCAGTATGAAATTGCCATTGTGATTTCTGATAACAATTCCAAAAGCCGAGCGAGAAGCACTCCATGCCCCATCTGTATTAATTTTAATGACTCTAGTAGGAGGCTTGATCCACCTCTCATTAAGGGTTGTAGATGGTTAATCTCAAACGGTTGGGATGTAGATATTTTCAAAGATCCGTGGATTCCTAATGGACTAATTGAAAAGCCAAATAACTAGGATCTTGCTTGCAGCATGGTGGCCATGCTCATGAATTAGAACTCACGGATGTGGAACACCCAACTCTTACATATGCTCTTTGATGAGGACATTATTAACCAGATTACAAAGATTGTTATCCCTCAGGTGAATCCTTTAACTAATGACAAGCTGATTTGGTCATTTACTCCCCGGGTGAATCCTTTAACTCATGCTTCCTGGGTTTACGAAAATCTTAGCTGGAAAGAATTGTGGAAAATGAAAACTTTTATTCCCAGTGTCGAGATGTTCTTATGGAGATGTTGTAAGCGAGTTATTTCAATTAATGCAGAGCTAGCTAAAAGATCAACTAAGATTGAAGCAACTTGCTACTTGTACAAAGTTTCAGATGAGACTGTGGATCACTTCTTATTTCATTGTCCAACTGTTCAGCCTATATGGTTTGCCTCCTTGGGTATCCGGATTGAAAATACTTAAAACAATAACTTACATTATTGGTTACAGCATTGGAGACATATTGATAAAATAAGGAATCAACATTCTTGCTTTCCAATGTTTGCTCGAGGGGTCATTGTAATGTGGTTCATTTATAAGCATAGAAACAAAATGATATTTGAGCAATACCCCTTCAGTCCATTACAGACTCTTGCAGCCATTTAAGCACATTGTTCCTTACTTTCCAGATCTACTATTTCAGATTCCCGATTAATTTTTCAACGGCTGGATTCATTTATATTGGATATAAAATTATGAAACGGCTGAGTGCATAACAAATGCCTAATAAAGCCTGACTGGTTACCAGTTTTATACACGGGAAGAAAGTCTCCAACAAGTAACGAACTGATTCATTGAACTCAATTCGAAACAAATGGAATTGATTGGTTTCAAAGCGACATTTTGCTTGTAAATAGCGACCCTTGTATTGAAATATTCCACAAAGAACTATTCGTGTTTAATTTCTAAACACAATATCCTCTCTGAGTCTTGAGTGATGAATGGTTTTAAGGTTGTAATTTTGAACGTAAAGTTTCAAAATGGGTTCGCTGTGACATAATTCAAGATGCGGTACGGACGACGTTTCTGGGCTTCCTTCATTTTCCTGTGGCTTTTTCTCCGAGCACAGTTCTTGGATTGCCAGGAACAGCCCTGCAATCCAAATGACTTAAAAGCATTGCAGGGTTTCTTGAATGGTTTGGATTCAGAGATTCCTGGGTGGAGTAGCAATTCATCTACTGATTGTTGTGACTGGGTTGGCGTTCGGTGCGAGGAGGTGAGGAGTTCAACGAGTTCTGAAGAAAGGGTAGTAAAATTGGATCTTGGGAATAGAAGATTGAGAGGTAAATTATCCGAGGACTTGGCTGGTTTGGATCAGCTGAGGTCTCTGAATCTTTCTAACAATTTGCTCAGAGGTACTCTTCCGCCCAAACTGTTCCATTTGCAGAATTTACGGGAGCTGGATTTAAGTTATAATGACTTGTATGGCTTGATGCCGGTTGATATTGATCTACCCTCCCTCAACGTTCTCGACCTAAGTTATAATGACTTGTATGGCTTGATGCCGGTTGATATTGATCTACCCTCCCTCAACGTTCTCGACCTGTGTGGGAATTCATTGAAGGGTGACATTGCCACGGGTATCTGTAAGACTGCCACTCAAATTCAATCCATCGATCTCTCCATGAACTATTTCAATGGAAGTATTCCCGCAGGTTTTGGTAATTGTGCTTCTTTGCAGAATCTCAGTCTCAGCTCGAATTATCTTTCTGGAAGTTTGCCCGACGATTTATTTTCACTGCAAAAGTTGAGCCGGTTGTACCTTCAGGAAAACATACTCTCTGGGTTGCTCAGTGATGGAATCGGTAAGCTTTCAAACCTGGTCGAGTTGGATATCTCCATGAATGGGTTCTCGGGACCTCTCCCGGATGTTTTCAATAAGCTTGGTAAATTACAGCGCTTTTCAGCCCACTCAAATAATTTTGATGGTAGTTTGCCCGATTCATTGACGAAATCCCCCTCACTCAACCTGCTTAATCTTCGAAACAATTCACTGAGAGGTCCAATTAGTTTTAATTGTTCATTCATGGTTAACCTTGCATCGCTTGATCTCGCTACTAATCGATTTCAGGGCCCCCTTCCTGATAGTCTCTCCTCTTGCAAAAATTTGAGAAATCTTAATTTTGCTCGTAACAATTTCACGGGTCAGATCCCTGAGAGATTCAGGAACCTCGAGGCCCTCACTTACCTTTCGCTCGCAAATACAAGCCTGAGCAAAATTGCAGCTGCTCTTGAGATTCTACAACATTGCAAAAACTTGACTACATTGGTTCTTACGCAGAACTTCCGTGGGGAAGAATTGCCTGGAGCTATGAATCTGAATTTTAGCGGCCTGAGGGCTCTAGTCATTGCTGCTTGTAGCCTCACTGGTTCAATTCCAACATGGGTGAGAAGCAGCGGTAATTTACAGTTATTGGATCTATCATGGAATCGATTGGCTGGAACCATTCCAAACTGGTTGGGCGAGCTAAAGTTTCTCTTTTACTTGGATTTATCTAACAATACGCTTTCTGGAGAGATCCCTGAAAGCTTGACTAATCTGGAGAGCCTCATCAGCCGCAATATCTCACTCAAAGAACTCTCCCCTCACTTTCCTTTCTTTATGAAACGAAATCAGAGTACAAGGGCATTGCAGTATAATCGGATTTTCAGCTTCCCTCCATTATTGGACCTTAGCTACAACAACCTCACTGGATCGATCTGGCCAGAATTTGGGAAACTAAAAAAGCTCCATGTCTTGGATTTGAAATGGAACAATCTCTCTGGATCCATTCCCAGTGAGTTGTCGATGATGTCAAGCTTGGAGACCTTGGATCTGTCCCATAACAATCTATCAGGAATTATACCCCCTTCTTTGGTCAATCTTAGTTTTCTCTCCACATTCAGTGTTTCTTTCAATCATCTGTCTGGAAAAATACCAACAGCAGGTCAGTTTCTAACCTTCCCGAATACAAGCTTCGAGGGAAACCCAGGTCTCTGTGGTACATACCACCTTCCTTGTCCCTCTGATCAGACACCTCTTGGATTCGGCAAACATGATGATGGAGTCGCACTTATGGGATTGCCATTCAAGATTGGAGCAGTAATGGGTTTTATTTTCAGCATCACTGGCTGCTCCGTTTCAGGGTGGATGCTACCCAAGATTGAGAAAGGAAGACGGAGAACTCCAAGTAGATATTCATGCATTTGTCCACTTAGATTATTGGGTTTTAGTATCTGTTGTAGTCAGAAATATAGGATATAATAAATATGATTGATCTCTTGTTATCCTTCATTAATATCAATCCGATTAGTTGGCATGAATAGCTCAGTCATGGTTTGATCATTTTTTTTATAGAGAATATCAACTTATTTAAGGATCCCACGTTTAAGCTTTTAGATTGAATGTTCTTTGAAATGGTATCAAAGCCACTTTGACTAAATGGTTTAGTGTTTGATCTCATTATCTCCATTATAAATATGATTGATAAATTCTTAAAATAAGGAATCCACCCTCATCATCTTCCATCTGCTGATTGGATTTTTTTTTTTTTGACAATATCTGCTGCTACGCGTTTCCACCATGGAGATAATAATGGTTTCTAGTTCTACAGATCCTTTAAAAAAATGAACATTTAAGAAATTAAAAAAAAAAAAAAACCAATGAATAGATACTCTGTAATCTGTATTCTGTACTTGTTTCTCCAAATGTATGCAATTACTTTTTCTCAGTTGAAGATGTATTCTTAAGCTCCCCAAAATCAGTCTTTACCCACTTTTGGCACGAACCTTAATTGCTTTAAGCTGAACCGGGCTTGACCTTCTAAAACCAGTTACTTCACTTACTGGGTAGTATGTAGCAATGCAACCAAAATGCAACACCAGATCAATTGATTATGCAGATTTTCTGGAAGAATAACTAAATGCATTTCTTGAAAATTTAAACAATCAAGCGTTTTTGTCTTTTAATTTTTCCGTCAATCTTAACGGTTAATGCTTTATATATATATATATATATATATATATCAAATTTCTTAAACTACACCTAAGTTAGGTTTAGGAAAATAACTAACTATATCCCTACTGTTTCAGTATTGTCTTAAAGCACCCCTACTGTTTCTGACATTGACTAACTCTTTCTTACCGTCAGTCTACATTAACGAAAAATTTAAAAAGACTATTTTGCCCATCATTCTTCAATAAATTTTCAAAATAAAACTTTTGGCACCTTTCCAAAATTGCCGAGGCTTATCTTCCTTAATGTTAGTGTCTTAAAGTACTCCTCTGGTTCTTCTTCGTCTTCCTCGATCTGTCTTCCCCGCCCAAGTCCAGATCTGGATTCCTTGATCTGAGATGAGGTGGGCAGCTACGGAGGAGCTTTGAATAGATACAGATGCAGATCTGAGCAGAGGGCTACCCTGTACTTGTACTAGTTTCAACTTTAAAAGCCCACACACCACCGGCCCCTCTCTCTACCCATCCGCTTTGTTCTCTCTCTCCCTCTCGCCCTTGTTTCATCACTGTCAAGTGCTGCAACAGCACTGGCTGACCCCGTCACATCCGCGCTCTCTTTCTCTCTGTCTCTTACATATATATATATTTCTCATTACCTTCTAAATGCATGCACTTAATTGTTTATCAATGTATTAAAATATTAATGTTTAAACCAAAACTTTTTTTCAAAAAAAAAAAAAAACAGTTTAAGTCAAAATTCAAACATTGAAATAAAATGAGTAAAAAATATCTAAAATACTAATAAGAAAAAAAATAAATAATACAATAAGACAAATAATAAAACTAAAGTAATAAAATTTAATAATCAATTAAAAATATTATTTTAATTATAAATAATATTTTCAAGTTGTCATTGTAAAGTTTGATAATCAATTATAACAAGTTTATAATTATAAAGTAATAAAATTTATTTCAATTTAAAAATGATTAACACAATAGAAAATTCAATGTTAGTTATTGTTTTTAATATTTCCATGTTGTCATTATAAAATTTAATAATCAGTTATAATAACTTTATAATTATAAAGTAATAAAATTTATTTCAATTTAAAAATGATTAACACAATAGAAATTTCAAAATCAGTTATTGTTTTAAAATTTAACAATAGAAATCAGATTCAATCAGTGCAAAGCCCCTTCCAACAACCATTATAGTCTTGCATTGGGAACATCTCCCCATGAAATAAAGCATAGAAGTATGGAGATGTTTCCGATGCAAGGCTGCAAAGGCTGTTTGAACGGTGTTCGAAGTACAAGCCTTGCACTAACTCAAGTCGATCTCTTAACAATAATAATTGTTAAATTTAATTACATTAATATTATACTTAATTTGTAATAAAAAGATCTAACATTATTAAAATTTTTAAACAATAATAAACTTAGCATAATATCATAACTTAAATTTTGCATCAATAACAATTTATTAAAAAATGAAACTTAATAAAAGTAAAAATTATTAATTTACTTTAGTTATGAAAAACAAATAGCACAAACCCAGTTTAGTACAGGTTTACCTTCACCCTACTCAGGCCCTTCATTTTGCCACATCATTGAGCTCTTAGCCTTTGGCCACATCACCATTCCTCCCATTTCACCACCATAACAAAGGTGGAAATTTCTCAAACATTAAACATCGGGCTCTTAGCCTCTGGCTACACAATGAGGTATGAGTTAAACATGTCCTTTGAAAGCGCCTAATAATTTTATTATAATTAGTAGTTTACAAATTCATTAATAAAAATTCAAAATTAAGGGGGGGCATGGTTTTCAAAACAGACCGGACCGAACGGTCAGACCGGAAAACCGAGTTTTTACCCCAAAACCGTTGATGTGGTCAGCAAACCGCTGACCTGGGCGGTCAAACTGCTCACTGGTTTGACTGGTTTTTTTTTTTTTGTCAGAATGGGCCATCCATTTGATTCGAACGATTGGACCATTTGACCTGGGAACCAAACCCCTAACCGGTTCATTGTCCGGATCCGTTGTAAAAACTTGAAAAGGGGAATGAACGAAACCAAAACATCCCTTTTGTGGGTCCCATTGATTTATGATTGCTAATTCTTTGGATGGAAAACGAAAAAAAAAAAAAAAACTCAAAAAATAGGGGAATATCGGAAATGGAAAATCAGACTATTCGACCATTCCTCCTGTTTGCCATTCTCCTTTTTATATATGGTCAATAGATGAATAGAATTTTAATAATGATGAGAAGAAAAACCTGAACTGCCAAAATAAGCAGCAGTAGGGACAGTAGAAGGAGGAAACAGAATAAGAAAAGCAACCCCATCACAGAAAGGCCCCTGGACCTGGCATCCCCCAATCACACCCTTGTCTAGTAACCCCAGGCTCTGGCCAACCTATCGGCTAGGGAATTGGCAGATCTGGGAATACACTTCAACGAGCAGTCAGCCTTCTACCCAGAAAGGAGGCTTCCCTAACCAAAAATCCGTATCTCCAGGGAGGGACCTCTTCAGAAATTAGCCATGAAATAACCACCTGGCAGCCCCCTTCTATTAGCACACCCCACCAATTCTGTGTAGTTAGCAGATTAAGACCTTGAATTAGAGACTTCAATTCCACTGTCAAAGAGTTGCAGGAAGCAATTCCACCTAAATAGCTTAGGGTGATGTTCCCACCTAAATAGCAGTTTCACTCTTAATACAGAACATGCATGAGGGGGTGACAAAGCAACAATGTTTCCTCTTCATTTGAAGCCATCATGTGTTAAATGATATGAAGAGAGGCCTCCCAACAAAAGAACTTACCTTTCAAGGGGAAGGACCAACCCACGGAGATTTCCAAGGAAACTGTGTGGGTGGGGGGGAGGTTGGTATAAGAATCAAGGACTTTAAGCAAAAGAAGGAAACTGAGAAAATACCTAAGGAGTTTGACATCCAAACCCTCTCATTTGAACTAGAGAAAGGAAAGAAGACGCTTTTCAGATAAGAAATGAGGTTCACTGAATCAATCGTCCATTTCTCTCTTAAAACCTAAGTTCCAAGAGATGGTCAACAGAAATCATGTGGGAGAGATGGTTTGATTTTATGATAAAAAATATTATAAAGCCACAGAAAAAAAAAAAATATATATATATATATAACGGCTGCCGCTATAATAGCAGTTTAGAAGGGGGCTAAAGCCCGGTTGCTACAAGAAATAATATTTTATAGTGACAGTCATTTAAAACTGCCGCTATAGATTATAACGGCTGCCGCTAATATATAATGCACGAATTTGAGCTATTTTTCCAATGTCTTCCTGCCAACTTTCTCTCTGATGCACTCTCTCTCTCTCTCTCTCACAGTCAACCTCTCCAACCGGACGACATCCGATGACACCAGCCAGCGTGAATAAGTAATATTTATCTCTCCCTCTCTATCTCTCTTTCTCACTTTTCTACTGTCCACGACCAGTGGAGTTTGTTTCAAATTTCCAACGAACAGCATCAACCGTTGCCAAAGAAGTGGACAAATAGTGGTAGGCACTTTGTTTCCCCCCGAGCCGGGAAGAATGGGAAATCCTCGGAAGGATTCAAATTCAAGTGAAGAGCTTCATAAACAGCAAGATCCGAAGACCTGCACACCGTTCAATCCATCTATCTGCATTTCCAACCCTTTACCCATCAAATCAAGAGATAAGCATTCCAGAACTCTGTATCCTTACTTCCATGCATCTGGAGTTTCTTCTCTTCAGAGAATCTCGCATCCTTTTATTTTTTCCTTTTTTTGTTTTCTTGGTTGGAGCCTACGTTGAAGGTTTCTTGGATTGCTTGGCTCTTGAAAATTGGCACCTAGATTTTTTTTAGGGTAAATTATACAGACCCCTGTACTTTGTTTAAATTCTACCGTTGTAATATTTTTTAATTATACTAGCCTTATAATAACTACTTTCATCTTCTCCGACTTCACATACACAAACAAAAGCACGGTAGCTGGTGCAGCGGCGGCGGACTTCCGAAGTACGGGGATAGTTCATCGTGATAGTTGATAGAGCGCGGCCTTTCGCGTGATTCTCATCAACGAAGTTGGTACTTGTCGCTGAGCCCATCGGTGGTCGGTTTGGGAGGTAGTGTTTTTCTTCTCTGTTTTCATTTCATATTGTCATCTTTTTTCATGAGATCTAGGGTTTCAAGCTTCAATCTCTTCCTTCCATTTATCTGTGCTTATTTCTCTATCTCCTTCGCCCCATGGAAAGATCAGATCACGATCAGAGGGCTTGTAGTAAGCATGTTCCTAGGGACTCTGTTCTGTATCATCATGCATAAACTCAACCTAACAGTTGGTATAATACCTTCCCTCAATGTCGTTGCTGGGTTGCTGGATTTCTTCTTTGTCAAGTCCTGGACCGGTTTTCTCTCCAAATTAGGGTTCTCCATTGCTCCCTTTACTCGACAAGAGAATACTGTTATTCAAAGTTGCATCGTTGCTTGCTATGGCTTGGCGTTTAGCGGTAACATATTTCTCTTTTTTCTCCTTTTGGCTTTTCGGTTTCTCCTTTATTACTTAAGATGTTGGAGTCTCGAGGCTCTTGGGTTCGACAGCTTGGTTTGCCGTGAACCGGATAGGCGAGCTTCTGCAACAGGGGAAGCTCAAGAACATTGTGGGGATACCCACTTCGAAGCAAACGCATGAACAGGCGCTTTCGTTGGGAATACCTCTCTTCGACCTGGATAAGCATCCGGTGCTTGATCTTGCGATTGACGATGCCGACGAGGCGGATCCCTATCTCAATCTCGTTAAGGGCAAAGGTGGGTATTTGCTCGGAGAGAAGATGGTCGAAGGCGCATGCTGGAAGTTCGTTGTTATCGTCGATGAATCGAAGCTAGTTGATCATTTGGGAGGTAGCGGTCTTGCCATGCCGGTTGAGATTGTTCCCTTTTGCTGGAAATTCACAGCTTACCGATTGCAGAGGTTATTTGAGTACGCCGGTTGTGTCGCCAAGCTCAGGACATGTGGGGAAAACGTCGAGCCCTTCGTCACGGAAAATGCGAACTATATCGTGGATTTGTATTTTAAGAAAGATATTGGGGATTTGAAGGTTGCTAGCGATTCAATTCTCTCTGAGCAAGATGCCTTCACAAAAGATTGAAGCGGATCACCAAGATACCGTTCACGATGTGGCCATGGATTATTATGGCAAGCGCTTAGCTACGGCTTCTTCCGATAGCACAATCAAGAACAGCAGCGCGGTATCTCTCTCTACAGAAGATTGAAACGGGCCATGGATTATTAGTTTACTCTCTCTCTCTCTTCATCTCCAAGGAACAAAAAAACAGATGAAATCGGAAAAAAAAGGGGGAAGGAGAAGAAGAGAGAGAGGGAGGATTTTGAAAGTTCGTCGCCGCTGCTGTACGTGTATCGTAAGCCGTAACGTCGGAGAAGATGAACAGTGTTTTCTAAGTAGTTATTACAAAGTAGTATGGCATGTATCATAATACAGGGGTCTTTATCACATACCCCATAGTACAAGTGGACTTTGTAATTCATCTTTTTTTTTTAAGGATTGGCTTCTTTCCGTCATTTACTCGACTGCCTCAGTGACTGAAATTCAAGATTGGATTTGAGTTCAGTCGGTTATTTCTTCTTCTTTAGGTGGACATCCAGATCAGCATTCAGGAAAATAACTGTTTCTTGTACCTGTTATTGTTTTTTTTGGTCAGTTTCTAAGTAACAACAAAGCTGCAGCTGTGCCCTACAGGCATGGTTTTCAAAACCGAACCGAATGGTCGAACCAAAAAAAAACGAAAATCGGTCAGATGACTGATTCTATTTTCCCCAAAAAACCGATTTTCCCTCCAACAAACCGCTGAACCGGGTGATTAACCGTTCAAACGGTTTTGACCATTTTTATTTTTTTGAATTTTTTTATTTTTATCAGAACGGGCCGAGCATTTGATTCGAACGATCGGACCATCTGACACAATAACTGAACCCTGACCGGTTCAGTCACCGGGTTGGTTTTACAAACCATGGCTACAGGAAACCCCCATAGATATTTCTTTTTGTTGAAAATATGTTTGATATTAATTCGTTTATTACTCATGCCCGTAGTTCACTTCTTGGGTTTTGAATGATCAATTGTCTCGCCTTTAAACCATTCACAGTTGTTTGGTGCCATGTTTCTTCGTCACAAAGGAAAGCCTAGGGAATAGACATGTGAAAAGGCCTAATTAGTTTCCAGACTTAACTGCCAAGCACCAAAGGACCCCACAAATCCGAAACCAAAAGAGAACTATTTGCAGTTTAAGAATGTTACCTCTTATCATTCAAGTGAATGTTTTGTAGCTTGTTTATATATTTTTTTCTGTAGGTCTGGATGCTTTTTCTTGCATTTAGACTTTGACACTGGATTTTGAAGAGAAGTTTTTCTTGCATGAGCCTTTTGTTATCCTTTTGCAGTGTACATTCTCTAATGTACATTTCTGCTTTCTTATTAATATTCCAGTTACCTCTCTCAAAAAAATAAAAAATAAAAAGATGGGTCTTTAATGACAAATCCTCACAGCTAGATGAAGTCTGTCAGAACACCAATTAATAAAATGATGCCATACATTTTCTAATAAAAAAAAAAAAAAACCTGACATACAAAAGGAGAATGAGGGATCTTGATGCACTAACTAGATTGGAAAGCTCAAAATTGAGAGAGAAGGAAAATCTGTTTTTTTTCTTCATTTTAAGGGGAGAAAAAAAGAGGTCTGAGCATTTGAGTATGAGAGAGTCAGAGAGGGAATAATGCTTTACAGTGGCATAAAATGTATTATTAAATGAATTTTATTATTAACCAAAATTGTTAATGACTAAGAAAAACAATTTGAAGAAAGAAACAATGCAAAAGATGTTGTACTAGAAATGCGACTTCTTATATTATGATAAGTTGCAATCACATGAAGATAAGTGGACCATAATATATGTTAGAAATGAACATTTTCTCTCTGGTAATTAAGACTGAAAATCTGTTAAATATATTCTCTAGATTGTGCCCCATGTTTCCAGGTTTCTAAAATATGATAACTTCTTTGATAATTAAAATGTGGGAACTACAATTCCTAATAATTAAGGGGATTGAGAGTGGGCAATTACAGATACAATTTAGATTTTCTATGGGGGCTCTAACAGAAATTTATTGATCTTTTTGAAAACCTAAGAACCCCTCCCCAACAATTAGTACAGACATACATATATGTATGTATATTTCCCTTTTAGTAAATTTGTTTTCCTATGACAATTTCTTCTTAATAATCAGTGTACAAAGTACAACAGTATTTATTAGTGGTTAAATCATCTTAAGATCAATACATATAAAAAAAAAATGTTCTTAAGATCAATGTTTGTTGCATCAAGCATGTTCCTTAACAATACCACTTTCATATCTATCATGACTTCGGGAAGAATTACTTTGAACAACTGCTGTAGTCATGGTTCCTTGCATGGGTAAAATATCCAAATTTAAGCTCAAATTTGGTAAATTTAGTTCACATATTTAGCATGGAATGCAGACATTCTTGTCTTTCTTTAATGTTGTTTAATGAAATGCTTGATGCATCAGGGTACATTTCCTCAAATCCTTGAAAAGACTAATAAGGATTTCTTTAGGAAGATCATAAATATATATTGAGGCAATCTTCAGATATTTGTTACGAGAAAATAAAGAAGATTGATTGCATTACTTGACCCCAAAAACCAGAGGGTTCCATGTTTCTAATGGTGAAGACATAGAGATACCTGGGCTGTGTTCTTTTAAAATACATTGTAAACTTTCTTATTTATACTCTGCAACGCAGGTGAAACTGAATCATCACTTCTAGAAGACATAAATGATGATAGACTTCTGCTACAAGCTGGCCAAAGAGGAATGTGTGATTGTGATGCCAGGTGTATGGAAAATCTACCAACTTTTCATACACAGATTAGTTATCTGCTTACCACTATTCATTACCATACTTATCATGTATGCATTATTCATGTACTTAAGATGGTTGATCCCAATTTTCTCCCAATGTATAGCTCTGTTTTAATGGGTTAATGGCAATTAAATATGGCTTCATATTCATCCCCTTTCAGCCTTTTGTCTTTCTGTTCACAACCACATGTTCTCTATAAAGGCATTGTCCAATCATTGTGCAATGTCGTACATCTGAGAGCATGCTAATAATAGCCATATAGAAACTTAAGTAAACACAGTTATATTAATGGGAAAACAGGAAGCATAAAACCAATAGATATAAACTGATGCCAGCTGGTGAAGTCAATGGATATTGGTACCCACTGACTTGGGATTGAATCCAGCCTTCACCCTCACTCCCATGTTTGTGTAGCCAAAAACAGATGGACATCAGCCAAAAGATGTGAGTCCATCCCTCAAGATGTACAAGCCATTCAGCTATATAATCTTTGCATCCGGAATAAGAGTTACCAAACAATTCCACCCCTTGCTCATCAGCTGAATTATCCACCCTAGAAGAAATACATCTCTGATAATGAACGGCATTATTGATAAAAAATAAAAAAGATAATGGGCATAAGGGACAAGGACATTTGACTGCCGCTAAAAGTCATTTTTCTTGTGGTGTGAAGACAAATTAAATAAGCAATGAGATAAGTTATTAATGGTATGCCAACCAGCATCCCTTTTCCTCCTTCTCTCATGTCTAAGAAATGGTTCCTTCTCCATGACATACGTAACTAGACCATGTTCCATACAAATATTGACTCGACATAACTAAACTAACAATTTAGTTTTTCACTTCAAGGATAATCACAAACACGGTTGCTCATAGAAATTTATGGATATTAAGATCCCAAAAAAAGAAAGAAATGACAAAAAATGGTTCATGTAGAAACTTTAAAAAACATAGAAAATAACTAATATACCAAAATTTCTTGAAGAAAGATTTTTCTGCCCTACAAATTTGTTAGCAGGGTTGAATGAACTCCCCAACAATGATACAATCCAAGGAGTTAGTTGTACTATGCCTATGTAATGGCAACCTTACAAGTAAAAAACTTTCCTGAAGAAAATACCATTTATCTAGAAAATCTCTCTAGAAAAAAAATAATTTCATTTCAGAAACACAAGGACTTCCGTAAGAGGAATGCTAGAAAGCAACAGCAAAGGTACAAAATACTTTCACCATTCACTATAGACAAGGTAGGACCCATAAAAAAGTAGGTCAACTTGGTTCTAATCAGTGGAGCAAGCCGCACAGTTAATTTTGCACCTTCTGCATTGCCTGCATGCATTTATACTTTTCCAAGTCAATCTAGCTTGTATTGAGTGATCTAAACATGACATGTCATTGTACAGTTAATGACTCCACACCCCCAAGGTTTAAGGGTAAAGAAAATTCAAACCATCCCAATGGCATGGGTTCATGGTATTAATAGATTAGATGATCCATAAAGCTACACTGATGAAGGAATGGAAAGCACAAAGCAGATTCAAATAAAGTTACTGTATCACCTGATGGTTTTGCATGTGTGTCAAAAGGAAACTACTCCAATGGCTCAAGGTTCAGATGGTGTATAAGTAGGTGCAATTGATGATAAAAATGAGAACTTAGTTTGTTCCTTCTTAAATAAATCAAATGTTCTTCTCTTCCAACTTATTCTGAACTTAACTGAACAGACAAGTTTGGTGTTTCCAGTTGCAATTGTTGGTGAAATCTCATGTGTCAGGAAGTGTTAGTACCTGTACTTGAAAGAATTATGAATGCGCAAATGACTGAAAGTGAAAAGACAGAAACCCAAGTGTTCTCCATGTACATCTCCATTACATCGATGAAAGAGAACCGAGCACAGCTTTCAGCCCAGTTACGAATTCAGTCTGCCTCTGCTGCATATAAGGCTGTCCCATGGAAAATATGCTCAAGTCAGGAGAAAAAGAGGAAAAGAGGAAAAAGGAAAATTACTGAAAATGGATGGTCTATCCAATGTTTATCATACATTTTGAGTCTAACATTGTTAGTTTTGAATTTTGACAATGGATGATGAATTTTGTAATAAAGAATCTATCAAATTGAAATTAAGATGTATTTGTGATTCAAATGTTTTGAATGGAGAATGGGTTTTTAAATTTTATTTGTAATTGATGTCTTTTTTATTTTTGTAATTCACATGTCAGACTTATAGCGGTAGTCGGTTCATTATTTAGCGGCAGTTTTGACTGCCGCTAAAAGTCATTTTTCTTGTAGTGACTCCTATTCCCCACTTGTGGATCATATTGGATAAATTGAGAAAAGTAGGCAATATGGTCAATATAGTTTTCCAAGGACACCTTAGGGGTAGATTCCTGGGCAGCCCAGAGTCCCAACGATTAGGATCCATGCCATAGATACTTCTGATCACCGAATGCCACAAAGCATCACTCTCCTCGAGCACTTTACTAACAAGGCAATATTTTCCGCCTTGAATTTTCCTATACCCAACCAACCTAGCTCCTTGCATTTTGAGACACTTTTCCAGTTTGGCAAGTGATCTTTTCTCTTATCATCCAAATCCCAGAGAAAATCTTTGATTATCCTTTCAATTCTGCCAATGATCCTCATAGGAGCTTCAAAAAGGGAGTAGAAATAAGAGTGTTCACGGGTTGGTTCGACCTGGTCAAGTTGGGGAGTTGGCCACCCGAAACCGATTGACCATGTGTACCGGTTTGGATCAATTTTCGGTTTGGTTAGTTAGTTCAAAAGATTTAAACTTAAAAAAATAAATTTAAAAATTAAGTTTAAATTTTAAAAAATACGGTGGCATTATTAAAAAATAAATTTAAAAATCAAATTTATGATATAAAATATTTTAGACTAAGAAATATAGGAATTTTTCACTTTTTCGTATTAAAAATTATATTTAAAATATAAAATATTAATATATATCTATGGTCGGGTCATTCAATTTTGGTCAATTTACAAATGGTCAAAGCAAAACTGATCCAACTTGGTCGAGTTGGGAAATTGTTGAACCAAAGCACTCTCAATCAGCATCTTGTAGTCTTCCTCTAAGTCTAATTTGTAAACAACGCCTTTTTTGCCAAACCTCCTTGTATCCTCAACCACTTTGTTGGTTGTGAGTACCTTAGTGATTATTTTGTAGACACTAGTTGTGATACTGATTAGCCTAAATTCAGCAAGGGAAGTTGGGCTAGGGCATTTTGGTATCAAAGATAATAAAAGGTTGCAATCATTCCCTTCCCTAATTTACCCCTTTCAAAAAAAATTTAAGGAAAAAAACAACTCATTTCAAAAACCTTCATTATAGTTGATTTGATAATCTCCCAGACCTCCATGAAGAAAGCCAAAGTAAATCCATCTAGATTGAGTGCTTTATCACCACGCATCCCCACCATTGCTCTTTTTACCCCCCCCCCTTTAATGAAAGACTCTTCTAGCCTCCTCTCCTCCGAGTCCAAACCAAACCCTCTACCAATAGGTTGCCTTCTCACATTGAGTGCTAACAAACTTCTTTTAAATGTAATAAAAGAACTTCCCAATTCATCTTGATCAAGAATTTATCTACCTTCATTAACTAATGCTCCATTTAAGCAAAGCGCAAATACAAATATGTACAGTGCAAAACCTTGTATACGATCTAGACTTGGCAATTGGGTTGGATGGGTCGGGTTCGGGTTGGGCCAAGACCCTTCGTGTTGATTTCAGGTAGGGTTGGATTTTGGGTTGGGTTGTCAAATGCTAGACCCTAACCCTAAATGTTCAGGTTAGGGTTGACCCATGGGTCAATTCGGGTCATCCAAAAATAACATAAATTTAAAAATTAAAGAAAAACTACATGAAAAATGCCAAAATTAAAAGAATTAACCTTAAAATTCCAAATATAAAATAACAAAATTGAGAATTTAACAATTTAAAGAGTAAAGACTAAATAGAAAAAATTAAAGAGTGGAAATTTCTAACAATGCATAAATAATCCCAATTAGACATGACAATCAGGTCAACGGGTTGACCCATAACCCAACCCAGTTTTTTCCGGGTCAGGTCATTCTCACATTCGGGTAGCTAAACATGAGACCCTAACCCTATTCTTTCGGGTTGGGTTGGGTCGGGTTCATGGGTTGGGTCAACTTTTTGCCAGGTCTAATACGATCCATATTTGTATTAGCCTAAAGCTAAATATTGTTCTTTTGCCTTCCCATTTGCCAACTGACCATCACTCTCCTTAAGCCATCTACACCTAGATTTTTTTATCACAGCTATCTCTTCCTTTTGACTTATTGACTCTAACTCCAATCTTAGATTACATCTCCTTTCTCTATCTCCCTTCAAAACAATGGCTCCTTCAACAAGCTCCTTTTTGTCAATTGCCCCGATTTCTTCTAAAATTTGAACTTTGCTATCTTCAATTCTTCTGGATGTTACAACTTTTCAGTTCCCTTTTAATCTCTTCAGCTTTTGCATAAATTTAAATCCCACCCACCACTAGGGCCTTTCACACCAAGAAGTCAGTTGGTTTGAAAGTGCAGTTGGAGATCTACATATTTTTCAAATTTGAATGGGGTTGGGCCTCTCTACTAATCATCCTTTGACAACAAAATGGGGCAATGATCTGAAGTTGGCCTTGGTAGCACTTTTCATATTACACTGTCATAATTCTCTTTTCTAAACATGGTCACCTCCATTATTGAACCCTACAATGATGCAAAGTGGACTAGCTTCATTGATGACAAAAAATCCAATACCTGGCATTGTACCTTTGCGGGGGAAAAACCTAGTAACATGGAAAAATAAAAAAACAAGTTGCTCTACCAAGATCTAGTGTTGAAGTAAAGTACCATGCTATGGCACCTACTGTGGCTGAGCTTCTATGGATAAAGAATATTCTTATTGAATTGGGGTTTCCTAGGGACAGCACAATGTAATTATATTGTGACAATAAGGTTGCAATAAACTTTGCCTACAATCTTTTTCAATATGATAAAACTAAGCACATTGAAGTTGGCGACCATTTTATCCAAGAGAAGAGTTGAAAAGGATGAAATATGTCTTCCTTTTAATAGGCCAAATGAGCAACTTGTTGATGTATCGACAAAGAATGTGTCCTCCCTACACCATAATGACCTTTGTAACAAGTTGGGTATAGGGATGCAAATGCACCAGATCGGATTCAAATCAGGGTATATCTGAATCCGATCAGACATTGTTCATGGCAGATCCTTCCGATCCGATTGGATCTGATAGGCCTCAATCTGAATTTGAATCCTATCAGTAAGTTAGATCTTTGGATCTGATCCAATCCGACTTGTTTTCTTTAAAAATTAATAAATTATTAAAAGAAAAATAAAATATACCAATTAAAATAAAGAAAAAACAAAAAATACAAGTATTTTTTAATTATTTTCATCATATATATACATGTTTTTATAAAAAAAGAATAATATAAAAATACAATATAAACAATATATTTATAAATAAATAACATATATATACATGTATTACATATATAAATAAATAAATAATATATAACATATATAAGATCAGATCTTCTTGGATCGGAAAGGGGTGATCTGAATCCAAATCCGATTTATGATCGGATCCTATTATCCGATCCGAAGATCCAAATAGGGGTGATCCAAATTTGACCAAATAGAATTGGATCGGATCATGATCCAATTGGGTATACCATACATGGCATATACAACCCAAAGTGAGAGGGAGTGTTAAAAATAATCTTATTTCTTATACTACTAGGCATAGGGGTATATGTGTCTTTTTACATCTCTTTATGATAGCCCTGTAAATAGTAATAGATTGGGTGCTGCCTCTTTGACTTGGCACCCTCAAAATTCTGGCTTCTCTTTTGTACTTTTCTTTCCAAGTGGCATACAAAATCAGGTAGCAAGGCAAAAATTTTCTAGAATTCAATTCCATTTGCATGTTGCAATATATGGAGAGCAAGAAATAGAAGAATCTTCAAAGCAAAGAACATAGATACAAGGAGAATTGTGGCTGATATTGGGCATTTAACCATGGAATGGCTGCTTGTTGCTCCTGAGTTTAAAGATCCATCTCATTTTATCTTGTGTATGAACTAAGGTCAACATTGAAACTCAAAAATTTAGTACAATGTAAATATATTTTTGATATTCATAATTGTAATCAATTTAAGTCTGAAGTTGGCTGAGCGAGTTCTCTGCAGGACAGAATGTGAACGTATTATGCCAATTTTAATATTAATAAAAAAAGATAATTTGACCCAACCCTTTTATGATTTTTTCAATTCAAAGCAGAATGGTGTGGCTTTGCCACTATAGCCAGATTGTAAAGGCCAAATAACATATCAATAGTTTTCTATTCCGTTATATAATAGAATCAAAATAAATCTAGTAATCCTTTCGTTTAGTCCTAAAATCATCTCTAAAGCCCATTGTTACCCTCTTAGTCTAATCTTTGGATCATACCACTCCTAATTCAATTGGCATCAAAGTAGTCAGTCCTACTTCAGTTGTTATCAAAATATTCTGTCTTACAAACACCCAACACGACACTGTACTGACTGTGCATGTATCTTGGTATCATAGATTTCAACAGCCCCGCAATTCTTTGTGTTTCTACTCTTTGAAGCTTCATACCAGATTAACCTAAACACCTCACCCAGACAGATTCATTAGGTCAGTTAACTTGCTCATTGATGGAAAGACTAAGGTATGGATCAGAAGGGATGAGTTACATCTGGGTCTTATACAGCAAGATAGTCCTTTTGTGTTGTATGTTTCTTCCTCTGGGAAGGGAGGAAGCTTCTTTGGAGGTATGTTTCCATTCCATCTCTATGGATACCTGTCAGCATCCCTTTGTCCCTCTTGGAGGCTTTTTTTTTCTCTTTTTTTATCTAATCTTCTTGGAGGCTTTGCTTTTGTTGTTAGTAAAGTAGGCTTTGCTGTTTTCTCTCTCCGCTAATGGCTTCTATCAGCCTGCTGTCATTCCTTCTACCCATCACAAATTCCTCACTTTAGGGCCAAAGAACCTGGCCATAAAGAGATCAAAAGAAAGGCAACAATTATAAAAGAACCTCAGTGAGACAATGTAGAAATTACATGCGATGGGGCCCTAAATAGCTGAGACTCCCCACCCTTTCCCTAGAACAATGTTCACCAACAAATTAGATAATCTCTGAAAGAACAAGAAACTCACTGTGGATGCCAAAGATCTAACCACTTTTATGAAACTAGTTGTTTTTGGCCAAACTCGTCTTCCCTACTTACCCAACCATTAATCAAATAAGAATCACCCTTTTATTTATACATGAGAGAAGCCCAAGGAGCTCATCAATGACCTTTTATTTATACAAAAAGAAGAGACTCTCTATGAGGAAACATTAACCAAGCTAACAGGTTTATAAATCTTACTTTACTCTTTTTTCAGAAAAGTGCATAGGCCATCCAACACTACTTGCAATCAAAGAGAAAGTAGAAACCAAATTCAAGGAAGTGAAATGACCATCCAATATCTCTAGCTGACAAACTGTCACACGAAAGACTGGTCCACATAGTAAAGTTAACCATACATACAGGCTCTTGGTACTAATAGCCATAATGTTTTTGAAAATTTATCAGTAATAGAAACAAAAGTTATTTCTTGATCAATATAAGAAGCATTATTGATGATATTGAGAAAAATGAACTGAGAATTTATTCACTCGAAAACATGAGAAGATGTACAAAAGACACAGAAGGCGGGGGCAGAATTACATGCAAAGTTACATCACTAAACATATTTTCTCTATGAGCCCCAGATTTAGCTAGGCTGTCAGAAACAGTGTTTAGTTCCCTAGGAATCCAAATCAGCTTCACGGTTGTTGAGTACAAGATATCTCTAGCTTCAGCCAACAGGTGTGCCAGCCTCCAAGGCCCACCTTCCTTCCCCCTTGGCTATTTTATTATATTGGCAGAATCACCTTCAATGGTTAGAGAGAACAGGCTTAACATTTTAGCAAAGCAAAGCCCTTGGAGAGCAGCCAAGTTCTCTGCCTTTGTAGAGTCAGCCCTCCCTGTGGGACCACTGAAAGCCCAAAAGATATCCCCCCCCCTCTCCCTCGGATTACACCACCAATTCCTGCTTTACCTGTAGATCCTTGGGGAGTTCCATCAAAGCTTGGTGTCATCACTCCCTTCTCACTAGAACAATGTCTATGAATTATAACACTCCCTGGGGAAGAGTAGAGGACTTCTACTAGATTTCTTTGAAGATCATTTAAGGAGAGACCTTTGAATTCTCCAGAATTAACCACCCAAAGGTTACATAAAAAAGTAATGTAGGAAATCCGGTATTTAACATTTCAACCTTTGAATTCTCCACAACACTGCATGAGTCATTGTACTCCAATAAAGTTTTACTCTTCTTCCTAATCCTCTGCCTTGCCATTGTCACAGAAGATCCACAACCTACTCAGGAAATACCCACCTATGGCAAACTGAGTTGACGAAATAACACTAAATCTCCCTTGTTATAGGGCAGTGAAGGAGAAGATGCTCAGCCATCTCACCATTACTGAGGCAAAGAGAACAAACATGAGGGGAGATACATTTGGCCTTTGTACTTTCTTCTGACACAGGTCACGAGTATTTAGTTTCTTTAGGCATGCCTTCAACACAAAAAAAAAGGAAACTTTGGGGGATATGTGAACACCAAACCTTCTAGATTGGAAAAATTGAACCCTAATCATCCAACACTAGAGCCTTCAAGAAGGAATTAGTAGAGAACTGCTGATCAAAAAACAATAGTAGAGAACTTGCCAGTAGGACTAAGTTTCCAAATCCACTGGTTAAGGGTAGTAGGAGAGATGTAGACCTCACTAAGAGAGTTTAATAAGCTTACAATTTTAATAATCTCTACCTCTCTCAAGGGCCTTCTTAGGTTTAAGTTCCAATTGGTTTCCAAGGGTGAAGAAAGAAGACACAAGGACACCGTGGCTTCTTGGGTTTGGGATAGGTTTAAAATTCTAAGTGTTAGCAAGGGTATCCTCACCCCACCACAGATCAATCCAAAATTTAATTTTGTTTTCATTTCCCACCTGATACCTAACAAAGGCAATGAAGAGGTCATAGGAAAAAGAGATACAAGGGTTAGTCGATTTCACCCAGTTCAAGTGGACTTTGTCATCCACAGCATTAGCATTCCTCCCATATTTGCTGTTAATAATGGCTGTCCAAGTAGCTTCCATCTCAAGAGGGTATCTCCACAACCATTTCACAAGAAGGGCTAAATTCCTTTCCGTAATGTGCCCTATACCCAACCCACCAGCTTCATTAGGTTAGCAAACCTGATCCCAATGAACTAAATGGATTTTCTTCTCACCACCTCCATCCCATTGGAGCTTTACAAGCTTATTTTTTATTTTATTCAGGATTCGAAGACCGAAAAAATGTAGATTGGCTGGTTAGCAAGATAACTCTTGATTAGCATAAGCTTTCCTCCTTTAGAGAGATAGCTTTTCTTCCAAGTAGCTAACCCAGTGTTTTAAAAGCGCAAGGCGCAAAAAAGGCGCAAGGGCCATTTGGCGCCTGAGGCGCAAGGCAAGGCGCGCGCCTTTTTGAGGCAAGGCGCACAATTTAAAAAAAAAAAAGCTAAAAATTCAAAAAAAAATGCAAAAAAAAGAAAAAGAAAATCAAAAAATTATAAAACATAATATTAATAAAAATATAAACTTAAGTTTTAAAATAAATATTTTAAAAAACCTATTATCTAAAATTAAAATACATAAATATAATATGTAAAGCATATTCAAACGAGAATTTAAAAATGAAATCAAACGAGAATTTAAAACCCACAATCTCTTTTTTTTCTCAATTGCATCAAGTAGCTAATGTGACATATTACATTCCTAATTCTACGAGCCACCTTTGTGCCATGCCCCTCGAAGCAAGCCCAAACAAGTCCATGTTAGGGTCTTAAATTCTTAGTTTTCATATAAAAAATAATAATGTTATAGTTTTAATTGCTTTTAAGAAGATATTTTATTAGGATGAATGAAAGGACAACATTACCAAATAGGGGATTCTCGAAGCTCCGGTTGTCCATTCATTAATCCTAATAAAATATCTTCTTAAAAGCAATTAAAACTATAAAATTATTATTTTTTGTGTGAAAACTAAGAATTTAAGACCCTAACATGGACTTGTTTTGGGCTGGCCTCGAGGGGCATGGCACGGGAGTTCGAGGGCAGAGCCCCCGGCCTAGCCGCCAGACTCAAAAAAAAGGAAAATGCAGCAAATTTTCAAAAGGTGCACGCCTGGGCTAAGGTGAAGGCGCACCAGGCGTGCACCTTTTGAATGGGCTACGCCTAGGACTTGGGCAAGGCACCTACCCTAAAATGCGCATTGCCTGTGTGCCTAGGCGCGCCTTTTAAATCACTGAGCTAACCTTTTTCACACCTCACCACCGGATCCCAAAAATTTTCGCTTCTTGGGTTCCTACCAAGAGGCATCTCCATATAGGAAATGGGAAGCCTCTCCACTTTGCATCCTAAAAACTCCTTGTACCTGTCCAAGATAGAGTCATTTACATTTATACCCACTATATTGCTTTTGGAGAAATTTACTTGAAGCCCAAGCCCAGCCACCAACTCAAAGCATCTTAACATCCATTTGAGGTTGGACATGTAAAATGTTCTCCCAATCAGCCTCCAGGAATAAAATTATGTCATCTGCAAACATCAGGTGAGTAACTTGAAACTTTTCAATAGATTTAATTCCCTTCCCCTTTTGCTAGTGAACCAGCAAAGAAATTACTTGATCTTGCAAAACATCTGAACAAGATGTTCAAATACAGATACCAGTCAAAAAAGTTAAAGGAAATACAGATGGAAATAAAATAAGAACAACAGTACCTTTAAAACAAGCTACGAGAGATCACGTTTATCTCCTTCCAGCTATCGACAACAAAGGAGAAATAATACCCTGTATCTCCTGCAATGACTGCTGTGTTCTTATCTCCTCCTCTACCGAGCTCTTGAGGTTTCTAATATGGCCCTTCAAGACATCCTCAGTCATAATATCATCAGCCCTCAACTGAAGAACCTTCTTGCACAATGCCAGCAAGAAGCCCGAGTATCTTGGCATTGTTGAATACCGCTGTAGAAACCGAAGGAGCAACTCAAGCTCCTCTCTATCCAAATTTGATACACATTGTAGCAGCTTCTTCCTAGCCACCAATTCCTCCATAACCGCCACCACACTCTGCGGACTATTCCCATTTAACGCAGAAACTAGAGCTTCCTTGTGCCTAAACTTCTTCAAGAGTTTATCGTGCTCTGCCAATTTCACCTTTGCCGGTCTCTTAATCAAGTAATCCCCTTCCGAGGGCTTTTCGTTCTGTCCTCTCTGAAAGTACCGAAAATATGTAGGCTTTAAGACCCGACTCTCAGGCTCCTCCAATGAACCGAAACCCAAAAATTTATCCATTCCCGAAATATCATTATCACCAGAACTTGGGTCTTTCTTCCTCTTCCCAACAAAAAGGGCACCATTGGAGGTACCAATAACTCTGGCAGAACAATCAGGGGAGAACCCCATCGACAGAAGTGGTGCGGGGTACCTCATTGAATGGACGAGCTTCAATGCCGAGAARTCAAAAACCTTCATATACCCATCCAATGACACACTCAAAAGCCTGAATTGTTGAGACTGCTCACCACCATTCTTTCTGACCTTACCGACACAAAGCGAAGTCACCGTCTTATTGTGACTCTCCATGGTATAAACAAGCTTCCCACCTCCAATGGCATCCCATATCTTAACAGAATTCCCACCAGCAGTCGCAATTAAGCCACCAGATGGAAGAAAAATAACGTCTTCGACCGGTTTTCCATGATTAAGCTGCAAAACCGAGCTTAGAGAAGAAACGCGGGCATCCCAAAGTCGAACTGTATGATCATACGACCCAGTCGCGAACATGTCCGAGCTAGCAGGCGAAGCAAAACCACATCGGACGTAGTCCTTATGGCCTTGAAAGTTAATTAGTTCGGTCTCTGAAGCGACATCCCAGTACTTGACGAGAGCATCGTCGCCACCTGAGAACAGGTGGAGTTTATCTAGTCGTGCGTACCGAACGAGTCGAACCGAGCGAGAGTGGCCGCGCAGCTGACGCAGGGGAATCCGTTTCTTGAGATCGAAGACTTGGACGAGTCCAGACTCGCCTCCCGCAGCCAGGAGCTTCCCGTCGGAACGATAAGTAGCAGAGTAAGCGACGTCGGTGAAATCGGAGATTTTCGCTTTGGGTTCGAAGGTTTGGGAATCGTAGATGGTTACGGAGGCAGAATAGGTAGCGGCGAAGTCGTGTGGGGGTTCCGGGGAGAAATCGATGGAGGTGATGGCGGAGATGAGGCCGGAAATTTGCTGAGTCTTGAATGATCTCCAGTATTTGGATTCCGGAGATGACGAGGAATTCTTTGGCGTAGGTCTTAACCGTGATTTTACGGGAAATGTCTTCCGGAGCTGACCGTCCGCCATTGGAGCTTGATGGCTTCTTTCGCCAACGCTGGCTGGCAGGGGTTTAGGGTTTAGAAAACAAACCCCATGACTTGTTAGTTGTTCCTATTGAAATGGGATTTGCTCCATTCAGACCACACCTCACAATGACCTCACAGGCAGATTTCCCCTGAATAGTAATAACACACACAAGTACGGGAGATATTCCCGATACGGAGTTGTGTCTGTGAGATCGGTGTATGGTGCGCTGTGTAAGGAACAGATCCCGCTTAATCGGACGGTTGAACGGTTGGACTTATTTATATTTATACTAAATTAATAAAAGAGCAAGCAGCCCATTATTAGACAGTGTGATGCACATATTTTGTTAAGGTAAAGCTAAATGATACAAATACATAATACATAATAGTATATAATTGTTTTATATTTTAATTTTTAAATAATTATTAACTATTTATATTTTATATACTATTTTTAATATTTTTGCAATATAAAAATAATAATAATTAATTTCAGCTATGATGGTTCATCAAACTGATGAAACCGACCAATTCGACCTAACTTGACTTGAGTTCAGTCAGTTTTCTATTATTTTCTAGTCAACTTCGGTTCAGCAATTTCCAAATCCAATTAAGTCGGGTTAGTTTCCAAATCTATTTGTAAACCAACCAAAATCGAAGCGATAAATATATGTATATATATATATATATATATGTATATATTTAAAATAAATAAATATATATATATTTAAAATAATATAAATTTTAATATAGAAAGTGGGAAATTCACATATTTCTTGGTCTAAAATATTTTATATTATAAATTTAAATTATTTATTTATTTTTAATAATACTATTATAATTTTTAAAATTTAAAATTGTTTTTTTACATTTAAACCTCTTGAGTTGATTGGCCAAATTAATACAACCAGGGTTGGTTGAATTTTACTAATGGTCGATTGGTTTCAAGTAGACACAAACATAGGTAAGCCTCGGCCGAGCATTTCCTCTTTATAAATAGAAAATGACCAAGCCTAAACCCAAGCCCGGCCTGACCACCAGGCCTAGATCTTGAGCCCAAACCCGAAGCTTGATTTAGACAAATATTTTGTATTATATTAATTATTATACATTATTAACAATATATTATATATTTTATAATATTCTATACATTATAATATATAATACATTTTTCACTACTAATTTTATTATTATATATTAGTTGGCCAAACAACATTCAATCTAACCGAAATGACCCATGAACACTTCTAACATATATATTGGAAAATAGCAATAGTCTAATCTTTAATAAATAGCAATAGTTAAATATCCAATAATTATTGAGAATTTACAGCGAAAATACACAATTATTGGAAAATAAATCTAACATATATATATATATATATATATATATTAAAGGAAGGTCTTCAAGCTATAGCCCCCATCATCGTAGCATTCTCATTTTTTTTTTAAATCCAAACACGTGGCATTTTTTTTCAAAAATTGTTCTTAAAGCCCACAACCCACTACCACCATTCAAATAAGTGGCATTCTCATTTTCTAAAAAGCTAGACACATGGCAACTTATGAGAAATTCTTGAGAAGTTCCTACTAAAGCTCACAACCCAAGAAATAGGAATCAAAAAATGGGTAGATTCACTCCTAAACATTCTCAATAGAAAGTTATTTATTAGCTTAACATGTGTTTATCCATAGTCTATTAAATACAAATGGTGAGACCCATTAAAAGATTACCATAAACCAACATTTGTTTTTAAATGGTTTTTTTTAAAGAAAATACTTTATTAATTACAAACTTTATTTAACTTTTAGGAAGCAACTTAATTTAGCTTTTAAAAATAAATAACTCAAAATAGATTTATTAGATAAATAGTAAATACCAAATAAAATGGATTACTCTTTACAAATCAGATCTCATATATTATCTTGAATCAAATTAAAATAACATAAATTAATAATGGTTTTCAAATAAAATAGGTCATAATAAATTGTCAATTACAAAGATGCAAGACCTATATTAGTTTTTTTAATTTAATTTTTTATAACTAAATAGTAAACTTCAAACTAAATTATACACACATTTAGTTACCCCGTACTTAGTATGGGGTCATTCTCTAGTCATCCGAGAAGTAAAGGAATACTCATTTTGCTACGAAACAGCCCTGCCCTCACGTTCCATTGGCGCCATGAACTGAGAATCCCTCTGGTTAAGAACTATGTTGGAAGGGGCTACTCTAGAGGTCTCTCCCCAATCTCTCAGGGAATAGGAAGAGTAGGTTCACCACTAGTGCCATCTCCTCCTCCTCCTAAGAAGACATGAACCTCACAAACATGCTTTTTGTCTCCAGGCTTGAAGGTCGATGATGGAGGAAACCTTCATATCCTTCTTCAACACCAACGCCACTACCGTCGATGAAATTCACAAAGAATGAGCTTGGAGCAAAGCGATACCGCATTAGACCAGAGCTCAACTATTGTCGCTACTGCTGTTAAAGATGGAGATCTAAATTGGAATCCTTAGCTAGGCACAGGCCAGTGATCCTTGATAGGGAACCAATAGAGCACCTTGTTGTCTTTTTTTATTCCAATTCCCATTTGTTTCACATTTAGTTTTGGAAACTTATGTCTGCCTAATATGCATTTCCTCTCTTATGCCCATCTTCCACCTGCAAGGAATTTTATGTCGACTTGTTTAGAGACCTGATTGGGAAGGAATTGTTAAATTGGTGCAAGTTTGAATTATAAGAAGGTTTGAAGAGTAAAAGGTTCGATGATGACTCTCATAACCCAAAATATATTTATAATACACTATTGTAGTTGAGATCAAATACACTTCTCGTTAAGAGAATTTTCGCCCCCTCCCCATCTTAAAAGTTTTTCCCTTAAAGACCTCAAACAATTTTGCTTTGCCATCGCCTACTCTCCCATATCCGTTCTTCATACCCTAACCCGAACTCTTCCCTCTACCCACTCTCCTCGTCGTGGCCATGTCTTCCCCATCTACCTATATTCACCACCATTGAACTCCCTCCAAAACCCTAATTCTCGCAGATATCTCCTTATCTGGCAACCAAATCGAACCAACTCGCCATTCCAAATCCTGCAACATCTACTCATCCATTAACAAGCAACAACCCTTCCCTTTTTTTATGTCTGTTTAGCTTGCTATAGTTGCAAAGATGGCTTACAAGTGGCAAAGCCAATAATCATTGGACGAGAGATCATGTCGAATAGAGATTTAGGGGGTGTTCTGTAGTGTGGATGAGAAATTAGTGGGTGTGGACCGGTCCACACCACACCAGTCCACAATTGTTCTAAACTGTGGACAAACTATGTGGACTGGACTAATCCACACCCACATTGGTGTTCTGTAATCCACACCACACTTTTTGATTTCATGTATCTCATATACATTTTATTAATGATCTACACAATTAATTATAAATATATAATTTTTGCATTCTATATGATAAATATATTGAAATATGCATAAATGAATTAATACCAGCCAATAAATATTATTTTTTTATAAAAACAATAGCAAAATATTTAAAATTAAAATCTATTTTAAATATTTAAAAAAATATATTTTATTGATAAAAACATTACAAATTTATACAAATTAAAAAATTAAGTAAAATAATTACTACTTTATTGGCAAAAATATTAAAGTTTGAGAGACGGTAATTTCATAAGCACAAAGTTTATGGTGGAGTTGCAACATAACTGAATAGAGAGAGAGAAAGAAACTTCAGCGAGTGGAGAGAAATTTACATCGGCAGGTGGACTAGTGGTGGAGAGCTTCAGCGGGCGGGCAGCGGAGACCTCCAACAGTAAAATGTGAAACAGACAATATAGGGTTTCAACCTTTCAAGGAGATCTAGTGTGAAGCAGGGGATCAAAAATAGACTACGAACGGGCCCTATCCACGAGTTTTTCCAATTGCTGCTAAATTGGGGTATGGACGGAACCGATCCACGACCACAACCAGCTGAACAGGTGTTCATCCCATTCACGAGATGAATACGGTGCCAAACACCGCCTTAATTTTAGATTCATGCACATCTAGGAATCTTTGCCTACAAGATGTTTGTGTTTAAGCTTGAAACGTCATCAACGTCAGCACAACTGATAGTTTGCGGGGGGTCAAACGGGTTCCTTCTGGGAGTATCGTTGAGGGAGAATGACCGATACCCCTAGTGTCAGAATTTGTAGGTTCAAAGTACATTTGGGATGGGTGCCAGCTCGGAATTCATGCCAATTCACGGGCGAGTATGGGTGCATAGGTTGTGGTTTTTAGACTTTTGAATGTTTATAAATGTGTAGTGGGAATCAGAAATCTGCATTTGGTGTATCTGTACTTCTCCGGTATCATTGATGGTTTTAGTGTGGCACTCTTGTCAAGGTATCAGATGAGATGAGGGGGATTTAAGGGTTGCTTTGTGTTTCCTAGCCGTAATGTGGGCCATTAGCAATGGCGCTGGTTAAATCTTTTGTTGGTTAAGTTGGACATCAGGACCTTCCATGGTGATTAAGACATGGGTTTTGATGAGATTAAGGATTAAGAACTGTATACGTTACTGATTTTATGTTCAGAAGTTGGACATCATGCCTTTCTTCTTAGGAAACATGACCTCTTTAAACAATTCATTTATTGGGTGGATCTCCAAGGTTTGTGTGTAAATGTTATGTATTTGCTCCTCCATCTTCTTCTTTGAGTTTATGTTATCACTGGTTTATGGTTTTGTCCACTGCTACCCCAACCTAAAGAATATTATAAAGGCTTTGAGAGATATGATATTGAATGCAATCTTAGAAAGCATAAAACAGAATTACTCAAACCAATCATAGACTTAAATACAAAGGCCATTGGGGTGAATGACAAATAAAGGAGTTCGAATCCACTTTGGGAAGAAAAGTTAGCGTGCTAGACTTAAGAAATTCTTTTGGCATATTTCCTTTACTTTAATTTATTGTTATTTTCTATCGCATAACAAAAAAACCATGCATCACATGGGGCCCCACTAGTTACTAAATTAAGGCCTTCTTCACGTTTTAGTAAATATTTATTCGGA